TTAATATATAACTTGCTTGACAGCAGATTTCGATAGGGACAACTAATGACATTTATGATTTGACATCTCGGCCACGGTTTGGCCTGTCTGTAAAAAGTATATTATGTAAATTGAGATTCATCAGCCTCCAAAATGTTCTCTTTTGCATCATAACATTTCATGCGTTGTCTACTTTGTCAGTAGCTGTACACTACACACTACTGCTGTATAGTAGCTTTCACTGAACATTACAACTGGCATTAGCAGAGTTCAAGCGCTAATTGTGATTATATTAGTTGATTTGTCTTCTTCATATTTTAATGTACGTAACATGTTATGTATATATAGGCTGCCTTCATAATCAAACAAATTAATGTAATCTGTAAATCAGCAATTTTTATTCTTTTAATCAACCTTTTTTTTGCCGTCCTTTTTGCACGCGCATTTGATTTCTCAATGACTTCGATAGCTTTAATTTGTTCCTTTCACATTAACAATATGGATCATGATAACAAACTAGAACGAAAAAAAGTGTGTACTCGACACATGCGGTATGATGCGTACGCATCTTAAAACGTTACAGTAACCATTTTTTGACCTTTCTTTCTGCATGCATATTTGGCTATTCAAGGCTTATCTCCTTCACATTCAAAATATAGATCTACATAGAATGTAAATTGACAATCTCATTCATGATAACATGCTCGAATGAAGAGAAGTAATATATATTACATACTCATTTTATCTGGATGACGGAGATCGAAGTTGTTTTTTTTATTATTTGTGTTATTTACTATTATAGTACATAATAATTAATGTTCATTATCCAACTCAAATTTGAAAATAAAGGAGGACACATACATGATTTTTTCAGTAGCTCTAGTTTTATTTTCATTGAGTAGAAGTTTTCAAGTCTAACTTTATCTCTCAAAATATAAATTTGATTTAATAATATATTTTTTTCAGATAATTCTTCTGTCTTTATGTTTTGCATTCGTGCAAAGCTATAACGGCATTCCCGGAGTTGTACAAAATGTAGCATCAAGAGTTACCAAACTCGATTTCATTCCATACCTTAGACAAACAAGAAGTAATACTTTTCCAAGCGATCAAGCAATCAGAGACGCATTCGTTTTTGCAAATACTAATCTACCCGATGGAGTTACGCGAAATAAGGGAGCATATATACGTATAGTAAATAAATATTCTGACGGCAAGGCTAGAGTAATGGTAGATTCGCCTAATTGGGAGGGATATTTTACAGTTTTAGTATACGTAAGACCACGTAAGTTGATATTTGTGAATGGTTTAACATTTTAAAAAGTGGCATCTGGATCCAAACGCTCGCACTGCGATAGAGTTGGCGTTCGCGTCCAGAGCTATTATTGGCACCGGAGAAGTGCGGCTACTAATGAGTGCCTGCACTTATTTCATGTAATCTTTCAAGTGCCTGAATACAAGAAAAGTGCCCGCACTACCGCGGTGTTTATAACAGCTATGTGTGTAAAAAATGAAAAAAATATATATATAACTCAATTTTGTTGTATATTTTCATTATGTAGCTTGCGTTGAAAGATATCTAGAAGGAACACATCCCTGTCCAGTAGGAGACGAATAACGAATGCTCAAGACTTTGCGGCGCTCACCATTGTTTGGCGGGCTATTGCGCTCCACATACTTATCCGATCGGGTTGAGGGGAACAGAATATCAATGTTATTGCACTGATAAGCTCGTCCACGATTAGTAAACAGTTACATGGTAAACAAAACATTAGTTCAAACATATAGTTAGATAATATCTAATTGATATTCATAAATAGTATATTGTTTTCTAATGTCTTTTCGAGAAATAAAATGATGTCTTTTCTCGTTAAATTCAAAGAAGAAAGTGTTTTTATTTCATATTATAGTTGTAAATTTCAGGTTGTGTGTTCGCACTGATTTCAGCAGACACCGATATTTCTTGCGGTAAAGTTAAACATAAATGTTTGCATTAGACTCAACGGTTGGTTAGTTTTATTGTTTCTATTTCGGGATTTCAAATAGCAAAACATAAATTAAAATAACAATGTAAGATTATGGAATTTTTGTGACAATCCATGGTAAATGACCACGCACACGAAAGTTATAGTAGTCATAGGTTAGTTTACATATTATGAATATAATTAATGTGGCAAGAACAACGTTTAGCATATCAATTGGTTGAATTGTGTGCTCGGTTGAAATACAGATATCATGTCTTTTCAGTGCCAGCACTGGATAGAGTATTGTATTATCACCATCATGTTTAATGCATTGAATTTCACTTGCATCCTTTATTACGGAACGATGACTCTGTAGTAGATCCTGTAAAAATAAAAATTTTAATGTCTTTTATTTACATTAAGATGAACGCAATATTTTTGAAATCCAACGAATTTTTTTTTTTGTTCAAAAAACGTCGTAATTACTTGAAACTTTAGCATAAAATCACATTCGCATCGCCACGGATTTTCGCTTAAATACCAAGAATCTGCATGGTGATTTCTTTCCAAAGCATTGTTTAATAAGTAAACAGGCAGCTAAAATAGTGATGATAAAAAAAATTGACAGCGGTTAAAATGATCTTCATCTTCATATATAAATATCATTGAATCGAATTTTATTTATTTAACAGGCGATTTTATGTACCTTCTTCAAACGGTTTCCTTTCAGACTAAATGCACGGAAACGTTCGAGGAAATTATCATTTTCCAATATTTCAATGGTGGAAATATGGTTAAAATCCAAATAAATGTCGTGCACCGAACCATATGCATTTAGTAACGGTTCAACGTCACTTATCTGAAAATGTATCCCGAAAATATGTCAAGCATATTTTTACTCTGTTTCAAATGTTTTCCCAACGGACAAATATGTAACGTTTTTAGGACATTTTAACGTTAAAAAATGTAACGCTTTGGCCCGGTTTAGTGGTCATTTCCGTGTCAAATGGAACGTAGATTTTGTGTGTAGTTTCCAGTATATTTACAACTTCCAATGGAATGATTCGTTCCACTTGTTTACTACCATACAAAAACATACTCTGACCGTATAATATGATCGCCACCCAATATGTGTATTGTACGTTAAGTTTTTGTATTTCAAATTTAATGATTTATTTACCGCAAGAAAATCCATTCTCTGCAAACAAATTAGATTTGAGTGATTTGATTTAATTTTCTGCAAAAGAATTTTTTTTAAACGGCACTTGGCATTTATTTTTTTAAATACTTTCGTATTCATGAACGTATATGAATTTCGAATTTCGAAATCTGAAAGACATTCGAATTGAATTTGACAGTTGCCGTTCAACCATCTTCACTTTGAAAAAAGATGCAAACATCATAATTTTGTTTACATTTTAAAATGTGCTTTGTTTTGAGAATGCATCGTGGATTTTTAGTTCAAACAAACAGAATTCTTTCTTCTAATTTCAACGTAGATATTGTGAATTTGCAAAGAATAGATTTATTTACGGTGAATTTTGTGCTTGTTCTTGTTTTGTTTTTAAAATAACAGAACATTTCCAAAGTCACACAGTAAGAAATCAAAGCGGCATTACAGTGTATTTTGTATCGAATTGATAGGAAGTTCATTTTATTTGTGTGGAAGTGCATTCTTCATTTTATATGTCTTTGTTGTGTGAATTTGACTGTGTATTAACTTCAAATTTGATGCCATTGGATTTTTGACTGTCGAATATTGCGAATCGAATTCAGTTTAGCGAAAAATCCTCACAAGGCAAGTTGATTTAAACTGTTTGGCCATTCAATCATTGTTATTGTTGTACTCTCTATTGTGTGTTTTGTGCTTTGAAATTGCGATTTGACGTTGTGTGTAGCCTTCAATTGTTTATATAATTATTTAACGCATTTTTTCTTTCTTTTTTCCGTTTTTTTTTTAAATTTTGAAATAGACTGCAAAATGGGTCGTCACAAGAAGGCTGATCCAAACGCCGACCAAAGGTGTATAAAGCAAGGACTGCCATCAATTATCCGTGAACGATATCGGGATGTAATTGTCGCAATCATTTCGTACTTATCGGTGAAGGCTACGAAGATCGCATGCCTTGCATCGTTACTATTTTTGATGAAGGTAAGTACACACATTTCTTTGACCAAATTTTATTTTTCGTCATTATTTCATCATTTTTTCGGCACTATGCGATCCATTGTATTTATATGAATCGATTTGATTGTTTGTCTCTCTCTCTCTATGTGTTCTGTGTTTCTTGAATAGGTCAATGAAGCACTCGACGATTTCAACTATGATTTTTTTGAAACCGATGAACCATCAACGATCATACACAACTGTTTTAAGGCCGTTCTTGTCGATAACATTGGTAACATATCGCTTATGTTACCTGGTTTCCGCAACATTGTCGACGCTGCACACATTGACTGGCCCACAAACGGTGGGTTCGGGAACGGTTTTAAATATATATGGGAGCAGTACTACGACAATGTCAAAACGAACCTGACAACGCATTGCGAGTCTCGATTGCGGAAGTTTTTTAAAATGAGAGCATTCGAACTCAACGACTACGCCATCAAGTACAATTATTTCAACAATTTGTACGGTATGATCGAATTCGAATTGCCATACTACGACGAGGAAGATATAAAAAATGCCATCAATTATACTTATCGTCGTCGAAACACCGCAATTGGCGACGTTGAACGTGAGATGCGATTGGGTGAACTATTGGATGAATTGCGTTGGTTGGGAGCACCGGACGATTGCAATATCCGTGACTTTGTGAAAGAGGATTGGTTCAAGTCGATTCGCATGTGGTCGGAAATTCAGCGCGATATTCGGAACTTTCACTTTGCATACGAAGATCGTCGCGATAAACCCCAAATAAAAAACTTTGTCGTTGTGCCGATGTGCACTTTTCAGCGTCGACACATTCGAATTGACACCGACGCATTGTACGTTATCCTATCGAATGCGAAATTGGTGCCTCGAAAGTGCGGTAAACGGACACGTAAAGACGGAACAACAAATTTCAAAAACATCACGAGCAACGAATTCCGCACAAATAAAATCCTAAGTTGGAATTTATTCTTCGATGTGGAGAAAATTCTCAAACTTGTGCACAACAAAAAGGAATTCGATTCTCAAATTTGTTCCGATGGCGTATCTGTATCGTTGTTGTACAAAAAACCGAAAGTACCACCAGTCGAGACAACAGATGACGAAATCAAGGCAATGTATGACAGCAATGAGTTGAAATATGCTGTTGGATGTGATCCGGGTATGCGAACGTGGAACGCTTCCGTACGACGAGATTTGCATACCAAAGAAGAGGTAAATTTGTCATTTAATAATGAATGAAAGCGATTGTGATTGTGAATACAATGTTGTTTTTGTTGTTTTCATTTTGTTAGGTGAATTTGCGTATATCCAGCAAGCGATATCACTGGGATGCGAAACAAGGCCGACGTAATGCAAAAGCCGAACGAATCACAAGATTGTTTACTTTCGAAGAGCAAGCCGATCGTAATCGAATTGCAGCTATGATTGGTGAAATGCCATCGCCAAAAGGACCATCATGGCGTTCGTACATTGAACATCGATTACGTGTAATGAATGATGGCATTGAAACATACTCAACCAAACAGTATGCACGCTTGGGACTGGACAAGCATATCGAATCGGTTCGTGCAATCGACAAAACGGCATGCAAAATGGTTCACAATCAACCATCAATTTTCTACATGGGAGCCAGCGGATCAACACCAGCTAATTCGCCGATTAAGATCAAGAAACATGTGCGATGTCCAGGCACACGGAAGCTGCTTGCGGCCATTATGAAACGTGGCAATTGCATCATTCGAATGGTCGATGAGTACATGACATCACAACATTGTCCATTGTGTTTCAAACGATTTCCACAAGAAACTCGACGTGATCGATACAAGACATGTGTGGGTTGTGTACCAAATCCAATTGTTGGACTACCACGAACCATCGTAACCAATGTGAGCAAACGATTACTACAAATGCGACGAACAATTGAACGAATGTGGCGCGAGATGCGTGATATAGGCGATGTCATTGCTGCAACTCTTCGAGATGGACCGAATGCAGGTCGTTTGGTGTCAAAGAAGCAACGCTTCTTCAAAACATGGCTACCAAATGTTGCAAACGTTGAAATCGAGGGAGCTGCCGGAGCACAACCAACGCTCACAACTGTATGGCACCGTGATATCGCAGCAGCGAAGCTGATCCTCTACAAAGGTATGCAATCAATTAAAATTGATACAAATTTTGAAGCAATTGTTATACATGTAATGTGTTTTTGTTATGTATCATTCGGTAGGTGAATGCGTGGTGTTCAAGCGGACAATTCATCCAAATGTACGGAGACCACGCCGTGTTGACAACAATCAGCCATTGCCGTTGTATCGAGGTCAGAATCAGAATGTCAACAATGGACATCTGCAGCCGCAGTAGTAGCAGCCCTCATTCAACAACATTCAAACAATACTAAATTTAGAAATTAGTTTATAACAATTATTTGTTAGTTCGCTAGGCTTGATTAAATTGTGGCCTTGCCAAAGTACGAGTACCTCTTGGTATAAATTGTACTCGGTAAGTGGAGTCTATTGCATATAAAATAGCATAATGATGATTATGAATCAAGTCAATTTTTTCATATCAGTCTAATTGAATTGTGCATTCTTTTCTTTTTTTCTTTCCATTGCGACGGTAAAATTGACTGAAACCACACACGAATGCTACCCCAAATTCGACCGTAAACTTGGGCCTGGTAATGGGTGATTTGCGCTAACAATTGTTCCTTGGGTTGTTCATTTAAAAGTACATATTGAAAACATACCTGATTATGCTGTGCATAAAAAGTCGTCGTGTTTTCGGGTAGAGTTGTGGGAAGATGCGTCAAATTTAAATGACTGCAATTAATGGCATACATGGGATGCGAAACGGCATCCAAATCGACTGAAAGAAACGATAACGTACATGTACAACGATGTAACTCTCTATTTTTTCGGCACATTTCACGTATAGCCTAAATTTATGCAATATACACATATAGACTAAGTTTTTTTTCTTCATTACAATAGGATAACGTTTTTTTGCTATATAAACATACAATTTTAAAATTCATCACGGTTAGAATTGACTGATTTTTAAAAGTTGTATCACTGCACAGCAGTAGACTTCGATCTGTTATGAATTTTGTCTTATCATTATGGTGTGTAATCCATTTGAAGTTTTTGGAGCAGTTGTAAGGATTCTCTGAAAAATTATAGTTTTCGTGAGATTTCAAAGTCATGATCACTATTTCAATTTTGTTATTCATTTACCGCTCAAATACAGCTCGTGGATTTTGGGTGATAACACTAATGATCCGTCATAGTAATCCAATTGATTCTTACGTAAATCAATCGTTCGAACAGCTGGGAGGTGCTTGAAATGCGTTGAATGTAAATGAGAAATTCTGGTATTCGAAATATTGATGTGCTGAAAAAATAAGTGATTCATTTGAAATTTGGTGACTTTTTACATTTCTATCCATTTTGTTTCATCGAAAAAAATGCCACCAAATCTAAAGATTTTTTTCCATTTGAAAAACTCTAGCAAACCTATGCAAAACTATGCCCCGGCATTCATTTATTGCCAAATGATGTAACTACTATTGCAATGGGAGGAAATGACAGCAAATTTTAAAATTGGCGCGCTGTTTAGTTTCGATTTGAGTTGTTAAATTACATTGACGTCCCCTTTGGAATTGGTGGCGCCACCGTCGGCTCAATGAGACTTGGAGTCTACACATCCTGTCATTGTACTATTGTTCTAATTGAAATTAAAATCTCAATGGGTTCATATCAACGAAATTTCAGAAGACTGGAGATATACGAGTCTTTCTTTTAACGTGACATTCGTTTGCTGCTAAAAAGATGTAACCAAGTTGAAACAAACTATGACCATTGAATTGATTTGAGAAAAGAATGCCGAAAATACTTTTTCCCGAACGAATATTTTCATGAAAATTTGATCATTTTTCGATGAACGTTGAAATCTAGGGGCTTTCTACTATTCGCGAATGGCAGTTTATCAGCAAAATATAAACATTTTCCTATTCATACGTAAAATATATGAAATAAAGTATATTCATTCGCATCAACATCTATGAAAATTCGTATATTTCATTCGAAGCTATTCGCGAATGCCGCATACTGTTTGCGAGATGCGACATATTGTAATAATTTGTATGCGTGATCATTTGCTTCCATTCGCAAAATATGTATGAAGCATTCGCTCGCATATGCAACATTCGTATAAGTCGGAACCCCCTAGGTTGAAATATGATCAATCTTAATTGTATCGAAAACACAAATCATCAAATTTCCTCATCTCCAATGTATAAATTCTGAATTGACTTTCCGTATTTCGATAAAAAAAATGTTATTGCAAAATAATTTCAATACCTTCAAGTGTTTCAAATGCGGAAAGTCCAGTGCGAATTGTGAAATTGAACCATTTTCAATGTGAAGACTTGTTAATTTCGGGAACTGCTTCAAAATTGTTGGATCGAATTTTTCATTTGGCCAACCACAAAATATAGCTTCCTGTATCCGCTTTAATTTGATAGATGTTATATTCAAAGTAGTCCCGTGACAAATCAAAGTTCGATTATTCCATGTGCATTTTCCTTGCTGTGCATCATTTGTTGTACAAATCCAATTTTCCGTTGCAGAATTAGTTGATTTAATTTCTGGCGGTGTATCTATCGCCAATACACTAAATCATGAATAAAAAAAAACCGATATAAGGTGTCATCTTGTCATCATTTTCGATAGTTATTAAATAAACATTAAATATTTGAATAGTTTTTGGTATGCTCTTGATCCGCATACGCGTATTCAAAATATAATTATAGTAGCAATTAACATGTTGGTGTTAAAATCAAATAAGATATGAGTTTTTTGACGATAACGCGTTTATTGCTTTATTTACAAGCAGATCATTTCTTATGTTCGTATTACATGCGATATCATATAAAGGGTGATTCAACAGGAGCGCTCATTTACTTTTCTTTATTTATTTATTTTTACTTTATTTATTTAAAAAAAAAAACATACAAATTTGAGTATTTCACATCAATTTTGCATTTCGCCTATGTATGTAAAGGAATATAATCTAAATGATCACTAACTGTTAACTGTAACTCGAGATGGATAAGACATACAATTATTAACCGTTTCTGATAAAACGCTCGTGTTGAAACACCCTTTACAAACTATTGTTGGAAGATAAATTTAATGATGAAAGCTCAGAACCAGAAATAGTCTTCTCAATACAAAAACATTCAGAAATGAGTAAAGAAAACAACAAGGTTTTTATCATATAACGAGTTCATGGCACACATATTGCGTACAAATTATATTATTTATTTGAAGCAGCTGAGCTTTTTATTACTTTTTATATATTTTTTAAATTCAGAAAAGAAAATTTTTCAAATTGAAAAAGAAAATTACAATCAAAATTCGACAGTTTCTGTTCAATGAATTTTTACTTTTTGATTAAAAAAAAACAAAGTGCAGTATGCGTATGCACGCCGCTCTGGCCAATAAACTCATTATATAATCAATCTGAAAATTGTTGTGTACATTTTTGTTTAATTCCGAACATTTTATCTGTTTTGTCTCACAAACGTGCAAATCACATGAAGATTACGTGTGTTGATATTATTACTTTATATATTATCACATCATCCGGATTTGAATGGGTAAGAATAAGAATGACCTCCAATCTTCTTTGGAAAAAAAAATACCGAAACAAGGCACAGCCATTTACACCTTGAGCTAGTTTATCATTAATTTTAACTCAATGCTTTGTTTCAGTATTTCTTTTTAAAAGAAAGATTGGAGGTCATAATTATTCTTATCCATTCGTTAAATAAGATGTTGTCAGCAACTAAAAATATAACCGGACTAAAATTTGTGTAATATATTTACGCAGATTCTTTGGCGCCATGCAGTAGTTCTACAAATTTATTCATTTGCAACAAAAAACTTGCAAGATTTACTTGAATAATCTTAGAATTGGTTAACATTTTCCCTATATAATCATTTTTTACTCACAGTTTTGCCAAAAATACTTCAAAACTCAAACCTTTTACTGATGGTTATTTGATGTAAAACAATCACAACAACTGTAAGCATCCAGTACTTTGGATGCATTTCAAGGAAATGTTCGGAAAAAATTGCGACTTATTCCGTGATAAACGAATTGTTCTTTTCTTCAAACATCCACTTTTTTTTTATTTCCACCTGTGTTTTTATTTGTTTATTTTCTATGGCCACCAATTTTGCTATAGTTTTTGGTCTAAAATTCATGTGGTGATACGATTTTTGTGGATGCCAGCAAATTCGCTTGAGATGTCTGCTCGCTGAAAAAATTGAAGAGCAACTGAATAGATGCTTTTTGAACCGTTTAACATTTGTATCTGTGCTCTGTATGCTTTTGTATAATCAAGGTGTATCAAATGAATAAAAGTGTCAGTCTGAATCAGTCATAAGCTCAGACAGAACAGGTGAGCAATAAAGCAGTTTAATTGTACACAATTTTCGTATGGCGCACGTCATTCCGATATTATTCTGTCACACGATATTTTCGAATTATTTCATGTCTAATGTGGCAACCAGCAATATATAAATAAATGTCGCATCCACTTCATTACTAATTTGGATTTATTTATCTTTCTGGGGAAGATTCGCTTCTGTATTAGTAAAAAATTTAAAAAAAAAAGAGATTTTTCTATAAAAATGTAAGCTCCTCCACAAATTGACTCAATTCATTTTGGTCCTGTCTACGGTCGTGATTCGATAACGTAGTGGAAATGACACCACGTGAAAATCATAGGGCAGCCAAACAATTGGCTCTAGTTGCTTTGGAAATAATTATCGCCATACCGTTCAACCGTACTCACTTCATATTTTTGGCATAGACACACAAAATTCATTATATCCTAGGTGGTAGACACAATATTAATGACACATTTAGAATATTTCTAAAATGCGCTATTGATTGGCAGAGATTGAAGAATATTCTCAACACCTAAACCGCTAACCCCTTAAAATACATAAAAAAGTAAATTCTGTAATTCAATAGATGAGCCAATTATGCGGTTTTTTATTTGTGTGTTTGAAATGTGTTGCTCACTAGGTCAATGCCAACAAATCTTCTCAGTAGATAATACGCCAGGATTCGAATAAAATAATAGCAAAATGAAAATGACAGTGAAATTATGATAACATAATCTCACTTGTTTACAATTAATCAATTTATTGTTGCAACATCCATATGCTTTTGGATTTGCCTTTTTTTTTTCAAAGTTCAAGACACACATTGAAAAGTGGAAAATTAGAAATCCCCATGACGTTATTGTATTACAGTCATCTGTGCCGTTATCGCTAAATTCAATCAAATTTCTTATTGATTAATATAGCCAATTTGCTTAAGCAAATCTATACAGTGTTTACGTTACGTCCTAGTCTCAATAATCATAGTTTCTGCAAGTTTATTGTGAAATTTTTATAAAATAATTAATAGTATCGTTTGATCTTTTAGTAAAAATGAATACAAAATGTGTATTTGTTTTACTTTTTGTGTGTCTAAAGAATGGTAATTTTAAACTCCCATAAAAATATCCATAATATAAATGATGGAAAATGGAAGCAAAGTTTTTTTTTTTGAAGTTAATATAAAATTAGTTCAAGTGTAGAGAAGATTAGAAAACTAAGATGAATCGAATAAGCAAGAGTGTTATATTAGAAAATATGAAAATAAATTATGGGTAAATATGTAACGTGAGTTTTATTTGCATTAAATTAAAGAAAAAGACGACAAACTCGATTCATCTTGGTTTTGGAATGAACATTTTTAACTTTGATCTATTTGTTTCAAATGCATTTATTAGCATTAAATATCATTTGCGGTGCAAGAGTGTAATACCTTCTGTTCAAAATTGAACCGGACTGTGGCCTTTAAACGAATTTCTGTGCAAAGTTTGATGTAAATCAAGGTGATGAGTTTCGCTTGATAGTGTACATAAAAGAAGTAGCGTTACGCGAATAATAATTTTTGCTTTTAAACACATAAAAAATGTATACTTCAGACATGAATTTTATTGAAAATATTCAGAAATACTCCTCCTAACGATGATGTTGGTCAACATCTCACTGCAGAAACTCAATTTTATCGAACATCTGAAAAACTTAATGCTTCACATTTGGGCTTTTCAAAACATTCAATGAAATTTCTCTGAAATGTTAATATATATCAACTGAAAACTCAATAAGGCAGATCCAATTTCGTTCAGAGAGAGACACAAAAAGCGTACTTTTGGGTTGAATTTGCAAGAAGCTGACCAAATTCACATTTTTTGCCATATTTTCTTATTTGGAGACCCTGTGCCAAAGGTACAGCGAAATTCATACCCTGTATTCATCAGAAGCTAAGGCCAAAACTTAACTGAAGATATATACAATAATGGCAATGAAAAACCAAACAAACATGATAATAACAATACACTTTGAAGCATGAAGCAGTGTTGTTTTTGATGTAGAGAACGTCTTAACGCATTTTTTTGAAAAAATAACTATTTTTTTAAATTGATTTTTTATGGAAATTGTATGGTAGGCCTCAGAGGCCCCATCTGCCCGATAGTGTAATAAATCATGTTAAAACAATAATATGAAATGATTTTAAGAAATTACCTAGTTTTAATTTTCCTTCAGTATTTTTTCATTTTAGCCACAAATTCACTTGTTATTATTGTTTAAAAAAACATTCTCCTTGTAATGCTTGCTTTTTTGCTCATTCTGTTTACAAACTATATTTCACAAAACATCTTTTGGTTTCTCTACAAAGGAAATGGATGCAAACAAGGTTGCCCATCAAGTGAGTATCATAAACAATTTATTTCTTATTTTTCTATATTAGATATTCCAATCTTCTTCAAAACAAACAGAGAGTAAGAAAAAAAGCGTCCGATGGTCATGTGCGAAATGCCAGAGCGTGTGTTCTTTGTCCAAATTCAATGAAAGAGACTTTCAAATGGTGGTTATTTTTCAGTTCTTTATCACAACGTGCATTACTTTTAAATGTGAAATTATCGGTTTTAATATTATAAATTTCTTCTTTTGAATTTTCAATTCGAAAACCATTTGGAGAGAGTTTAATTGGAAGAAGAACACATTTTATGTTTAATAGAATGACCGAATGCCCCTTATTATTGCACGATTTTAATTAAGGACTAGTGTCATAGACGGAATTTTGTGTACTTACAATTTTGTGTATTTTACACAGACTCTTAAAACGACATTGAAAATAGCTCGTCTCTTCCATGTATCATCATTTTAATAGATTTTGTTTTCATCGTTTTTTTCTTTTCTTTTTATTTTCTTCGTTCTGCCCCAATTATATCGGACCCAAAATAAAAAATAACAGCAAGCAAAGGAAGCAAATTAAAATATCAACCCGGCCAAGTGTATAGCTATAACTTCGAAAGTACAGTATCGATTTCAATTGGAAAAGATCCCCAAGATATTCAATTGCAAGTTCAGGGTACAGCTCATGTGCACAGCTATTCAAATTGCCAATATGGTTTGGATTTGAATGATGTGACATTTATTGGACCGGATAAGGTCAAGACAAAGTTCAATAGCAAATTACAATTATCGAAAATCGTACAATTCACATTGTCCGACGATAAATTGGAATCGGAAATTTGCGCCAACCCAGACGATTCCGATGTTTCGTTGAACATTAAACGAGCATTGATTTCATTGTTGCAATTGAACGATGGACCCGCTGAAGAAGTCGATATATTCGGTAAATGTCCAACAAACTATGCCGTCACAAAGAACGATGATGGTTCATATGTCGTTACCAAAACTCGTGACTTGAACGCATGCAGTTACCGTGAAAACTTTGTCAGTGGTATTATTACTGGTGTTTTCAATGAAAACAGCAACATAAAATCGACTCCACTATTGAATGGCAATTATACCAATGAAGTTCGTGTCAATCGTAATGGCATCGTAGAATCGGCTCAAGTTGTTGAAGATTATGTGTTGGTGCCGTTTTCAAATAGTGAAGTCGGTGTTCGTGCACGTGTTATCACATCATTCCGATTGAAAGACCAAAAACCAAATGACGGTGAAACACTATCGGTTTCAGTACCACGGTCGTTGATCTATGAAAGCGTTAAAAAACCACAAGCCGATAACTATAAAATCGCAAAAAAATCGCTATTGGCCATTTGTAAAACATATGAACAACGTGAAGTTGGTGCTCAAGATGCTGGTCAATTCATCGAAATCATTCGTTCAATGCGCCACATGAAAACGGATGACATTTTACTATTGTATAAAGATGCAACACAGCATAGCAATCCAATTTGTCGCAAAGTATGTTTGGATGCTGTTTTCCGTGTTGCCAGCGCTGATTCGATCAATGCTATCGCAATGCTATTGGAAAATAATAAAATTAACGAAATACGTTTGGCCTATCTTTCATTCAATTTGGCTACATCGGTTAACAAGGAAACTATCAACATTTTAACGGTCAGTTTATATAAATAATTTCTTTTATATCATTCACCGCAGAATTGGAGACTTCCACTTGATTCTCTTTTTTTGAAATTTGTAATAAACACGTAGAAATTGGTCGACAAAAACGGGTCTCTTGTTCTAAAAGAAAGTTACTTGAGCATTGGAAACTTAGTCAAAAAATACATACAACAATATGGTAACGAAAATGATGCAGATCTCGTGAAATTACTTGATAAATTGGCCGATAAATTGGGTAATTGCAAAAGCATATATCATAGCCAAGAAGATTTGATTATTGCCATTTTGAAGGGACTACGTGGTGTCAAAGGTGTCACTGGATCATATTTGGATAAAGTGGTGACATGTTCAAGTGAAGGTAATGCCGGACGTGTTCGTACTGCTGCCATTCAAGCATTTGCATCGGCCTCATGCGACAACAAAATCCAATCGGCTGCATTGAATCTCTTGAAAAATCGTAAAGACGATTCGGAATTCCGTATTGAAGCATATTTAGCTTTGGTCGATTGTTCATCACCAGAAATTGCCGATGAAATATCAAAATTATTGGATGACGAAACTGTTTATCAAGTTGGCTCATTTATTGTTTCGCATTTGAAAAATTTGCGCGCATCAACCGATTTGTACCGAGAAAAAGCACGTAAAGATTTTGCCAATGTTCGTGTATCACAGATATTCCCAAATGATATTCTTGAATCTTCATTCAATCATGGATTCTCCTATGAAATTGGATCGTTTGGTTTGAGCGGTAGCATTGACAGCAACGTCATTTACTCGCAAAAATCGTTCACACCACGTTCATTTCGCACGAATTTCACCGCTGAATTGTTCGGCTCTAAATTCAACATTTTCGAACTAAGCGGACGTCAAGAGAACTTTGATTTGGTGTTGGAGCGTTACTTTGGCCTTCAAGGATATTTCAATACATTGAACAAACAGGAGAATGTCGGTTCATCGCGTGATGAAATTGATTTTTCGGTGAAAATGTTCGGTTCGGAATTGTATTTCTTGAGTTTGAGTAACAATTTACCATCAAGCAAAGATTTTACAAAAGAATTCGGTCGCTTATTGCAAAGCGTCGTGAAAGATACCAAAGAAGGCGGAAAGAAACAGTACGAAGCTCAGTCGTTATTCCTTGATGCTGAATTCTCTTACCCAACCAGTTCTGGTTTTCCATTGAAGATTCAATCACAAGGTGCGGGTGCGTTCCGTTTGGAAGCTTCACTCAAGGCTGACTTTAAGGACATTCAAGCCAATCCAAAGAACACGAAATTCGCGGTTAGCATTTCGCCAAGTTACAACGTTGAATTGACTGGAATTATTAGCGTTGATGGCTATGAAGTAGCGACCGGTGTCAAAGTTACCAGCAATGTGCACAGTGCAACTGGTGCCGAATTATCTTTCGAGCTATTGGGCCAAGGCAAAGGTGTTGATGTTAAAGTGGATTTTCCACTTAAAAAACAAGAAATTCTCAGTTTTGACCTTGATATCTTTTTTATCCAACAAAACTTGGGCCATCCAAGCATTACACACAATTTAAAATCGGCACAAAAGTAAGTTCGATTTAAATTCATATGCTTTTGAATTTATTTTTGTCGATAAATTATGTTAGCTTCAAATTTAAATGGGATAAATGTGGATTACATAAGTAATTGTTTTGTTTTTTTTTTTCTGTTCACAGTAAATATGTTACCAATGACAAAGATTGTTTCGATCAATTCCAAAAATATTTGGGAGTAACCGTTTGCTATGAATTTTATTCCAAAAAAGGCGAAAAATTGCATGCATTGGCTTATATTAAAATTGAAAAACAATACCAATTTAATGCCACCTATGACGATTCAGTCGCACAAAAACCGAGATTAGAATTGGTGTTCGATACACCCGAATCAGTAGACAAACGTAAAGTATCGATTGGATTCGAAAGTGCCAGTCAACAAAAACCATACCTAAGGGCAAAAATTGTATCACCGTACAAATCGGTAGAGGCTGAAATCGCTGTCAATAATAACGATAAAGAATGGGCCATCTATGGACAAGCCAAAATTGATGCCTTGCAATATTTGTTGAAATTAGGTTTGAAAAAGAATGGATCAAGTACACGTCGTGAATACACACCATACATTGAGTACTCCAATCCAGATGCAATTCCATACAAAGCGAGCGGAAAACTTATTATCGATTCATCACAATCGTCGAATGATATTGAAAATATACGATGCAAATTCGAAAAATTGACCATTGGGCCAGCACAAAGTGATGGAAAATTCGGTCCATTGGTATTTGATGGATTGTATGAATATAAGAAACTTTTGAACATGAGAACCGAGTTTGTTGCAACAGATTTGGATGTTAAATACAAGGATAGTTCGGCTAATATAAAAGGTAATGCCCTTATCAAAAACCAAGAATTGAAATTGGATTTGGATTTTTCACTTTTGAGTGATATTGCCAACGGTCGTGTGAACTTCCTTCACCAAACCATTAGCAATCTAGACCAAAAAAAATCCGATCAAATATTCGTATTTGTGTATGGCCGTGACTTTGAATCGACAACCAAACGCATTAAATTAACCACCGACTATGAAACCGAGAAAAAGGACGATAAATACGTTAGCATTGCTGGCAAAAACACGCTCATCATTTCATCAATTCCAATCAAACTTCTGCTTAACGGTGGATACCGTGCGGGACATTTTGACTATGAATTTATTGGTGACTATGACAAATGTGAAGTATCATCAAAATTGAATGTTGATGTTAATCAGACGAGCAAAGGCGATTGGGATGTTAAATTCAAAGGAGCCGTGAATAATCACAATATTCAATTGGTATCATCACGTGACATCGATGATGCGGCTCAACAAGAGATTGATCTTGATGCCGTTATTGTAGTTGGACAAAAACCATTGAAATTAGACTTTAAATTTGTGCTCAATCCAAAGTCTGCTCAAAGCAACGGAAAATTGCTGAACGACAATGCAGAAGTCATTTCATTTAATTCCGTTCTCAATTCGGTGAAAGGTAAATGTAAATCGGAATACTTTGTAACATTTCAGAAATTCATTTGAAGGAAATCTAAAACATTCCCCATTTTTATTGAGCATAGTTAATAATCATTTTAATAATGAATTCGATTCAAAAATATGAAATTTCAGCCCAAATTGAAAGATCAGTGCCATCAACACGAACACCATCAACAACACTTCCACCACCAATACCATCAATTTCTGTGGTGATCACTTCGCCTGAGTTTCAAATTGGAGAAACTATGAGACTACCATGCAACGCATACGACAACATCATACACGTAAGAATATTCTATTGACGATGATGGAACATTGTTTTATATTTTGTTCTATTAGACTCCAGCCACAGTCATCTGGCGTAAAGCGAATGGATCTCTCCCGGATCGATCACATCAAAAGAATGGTGTTCTTACAATCACAAATTCTCAACTTGCTGACGCTGGTGAATATATTTGTCGAGCTGAATCCAAGGGGCATTACGAAAAAAGTATAACAATTATGATCAGAGGTAAAAATTTAATATTAACTTCAAATAAAACTCAGATCTTATCTCATTTATTTTATTCGGCTAATTATTAATTTCAATCAATTATAGACAATCGTTCCAATCAAACCGAAAACCTGTAAGTATCAGTGACTTGGTCAACAAGACAACAATTTTATTAAGTAAAACTTATTTTATTCATTGCACGATGAACCTTATTTCAGAGAACCATGGCAAGTATTTCATGGCGCTGTTCTCGGTGGTGAGTAATAGAAATCTACGCAATTTCATATATTTTCTTTAATCTAAAAGCGACTATTGTTTCAACCGACAGAAAATCTGAGAGCAATTGAAGAACTACTCGCAAACGGAACGGATGTGAATATCAGAGACCGCAATGGTCGAACACCTTTATTTACTGCAGCTCGAAATGGTAATTTCATACCGCCGTGAAATACAAATAACAATCGAAATGCTTGAAAATCATTTTTATTCAGGTCGACATATAATGGTTGAGTCATTGTTAAGGAATGGTGCTCATATCAATTTGAAAGATTACTATGGCGCAGCTCCAATTCACACAGCAACTTCGGAAGGTGACAAAATATTCAAAAATATAAATAAAAATGAGAATAAATGATCGAATATGAATCTTTAATTAAATCAAGGTCACAAGCGTGTTGTGGAAATACTTATTAAAAATGGCATAGATAAACATTCAAGAGACGAAAATGGAAACGCGCCAATAAATATCGCCGCTCAGAAAGGTGACTTGGACGTCATTAAACTCTATAAAAACTATAATTTTAAATTTTGAAAACAAAATCATTTCCATAGGTTATGAGGAAATTGCTGATTTGCTACTCAAAAATAGTGTCAATGTCAACAATCAAGATAGGGATGGAAAAACAGCATTGTTTACGGCTTCGAGTTTTGGTAGTTACAATCAGAAATTGATTTGGCTTTTGTCACACTGCCAAAAGAAATTTGATGAATTAAAATGATTTTTTCTTGCAGGTCGCATTGAACTGGTCAAAATGTTATTGAGTCATGGTGCGAATGTTAATCTCCAGGACAATCGTGAACAAACACCATTATTCAGCGCTTCTTTGGCAGGTCAGTTTCAATAAAATTTCACTTCATAAACCAAATGACAGCTTTTTCTATTTAATACTTAGGCTTTGATGATATCGTTAAAGTGTTAGTCGAAAAGAAACTCGATATAAATAAACAGGATCAAAATGGATGGTCGCCACTACACGTCGCCACTCAAAATGGTATATTATGATTCATAATAAGGCTATTAATTTTATCATTTCATCCTTTTCATTTTTTTTAAATTCTCATTCAGGCTTTGAAAAGATTGTAGATATTTTAGTGAGAAATGGAGCCGATGTCAATTTACAAAATCAAAATAAAGACACTGCAATGAATCTGGCTACAAGAAAAGGTATTGATCCCAACAACAACACAATATTGATCACATTTTCCCTGATTTATAACAGAAATTCACCTCATTTTTTCACAGGAAAAATGGAAATTATCGAAATTCTTGAAAAACGGCGATCAGAATGGGGTAATGATTTGTTTAAATATATTGTGCTTTTTTAAATAAACTGATAAAAACCTAATGTTGTGGATTTAGCATGCGAATCATACTCAGATGATAATATGAATCTTCGGATTTATGGTGGTGTAGAAACTACTTCGGAGGAATTCCCTTGGATGGTAAGCAATGCATGTTACTATATTTGTGTTTATGAAACAAATAATTTTCAATACTCCGATAAATTAAATCGTTGAAATTAAAAAAAGCTTATAATTTTCAATCATTTCAGGCGGCTTTAGGCTATTTAGACTATTCAGACGATGATTACAAAGTGACATTTCGCTGTGGAGGTACCATCATATCGGATTATTTCATACTAACTGCTGCGCACTGTACTTCAAATCCTAAACCGGTTGTCGTTCGATTGGGAAAAGTGAGTACAAATGTTAACCGCTAATGTCTGATGTTTCATAATTTTTCATTCCGAAACAGAATACTCTAAGCATTAGCGATGATGATGGAATTAAACCAGAAAACTACAGAATCGAGGTAAAAATGAACAAAAACAATTGAATCATCAAATAGATATGTATAGTTCATCAGTTTTATAACAGCATCTGTACTTATTAAAGCTAAATCATTTTCTTCCAAACAGGAAATAAAAAAACATCCAAACTATTCGCGTCTAACTATGAAAAATGACATTGCATTAATTCGAGTGACAAAGCGAATTTCTTTCAAATATAATATTTCGCCGGCATGTCTGCAAACTGATGTAAATGACATTCACGTAGATGTGCCGTTGATCGTGACTGGTTGGGGAAGAACAACAGACAAAAGTGAGTTGTAATGTATGTCAAAATCCTTGAAACACAACATAAATTTGGTTATTCTTTAATCTTAGATTTAAATACATCAAACATTTTGATGAAAACACAATTGAAAACAATGCCACTGTCCGAATGTAACAAAACGCTTTCGAAGTGGAATAAAATAGCAAAATTGTCACCTTATCAAGATGGCATTAGCCACGGACAGTACTGCGCTTATGACCCACAGGCACGAAATGATAGTTGTCAAGGCGACAGCGGCGGGCCACTGCAGTACTATTCCGATTCAACATTTGTGGCCACAGTTGTGGGCATAGTTTCCTTTGGCGAAAGCTGTGGCACTGCATGGCCGGCCATTTACACACGCATCGCATATTATATAGATTGGATTGAGGGCATCGTTTGGCCACCATATCCATAGAAAAGAAATTGGAAATTGATAAATAATTTATTAGAATTTCGATACATACTTATGTTCAGAAATAAAATTGATTTTAAATCAATATTTTAATGGCTTTTATTTATACATTGCTTATTATGTTTATGCTCTACTCGAACGAACCTTTATTCAGAATTATCTGAATGATTCAGACTGAATTGTAATGCAAAAGTCTCATCATAAAATCGAAAAATTACAATTGCTTCTATTAATTGCATGGTTTTTTAATCGGTTTTCACAAGAAATTGCTCCAATAATGGACAGCTAGTGAAAGCTAGAAAAAAATTATTATCAAAAAGATATTTTTTTTGAAATTATAAATTTTTATTTTTGACTTTTATTGAAAATGAATCTGTAATTAATTGATCAAACTGAATGTCTATCAACCGACTATATAAAAATGAATAAATAATTTAAGAGCAATATTATTACAATTGCTTTGTGGTATGTATTTCACAATTTGGAAGATCTTTTTTTAGTTGATTGACAACACCAGTGAAATCTTTTATGTAAATAAAATTATAAATGGTTAATTTTTTCAGATTATTCAATTGTTTCAGTGACATCAGACCGCTTTCCACAACATTTGGACAGTCTGTAATTTGCAATTCATTCAATGAATTCTTCACATAACCCAATTGTTCCAGAGCTTCATTCTAGAGAAAAATCCAAAGAGAAAAGAAATGAAAATAATACAAATCAACGTTGTATGAACTCATTTGTGCGGTGACGAAATGGCTCCTAAACCAAATAATAGTTCAACATAAACAAATTTTCATTGTAAAAAATACTCTATATAAAATAAGCAACGGTTCAAATACAAATCATTGAAAAATAAACAAAGAATGGATAAAAATTCTGCATTAAAATGTATTTTAAACTCTCGGCATTTACCTCCATGTGTTTGCATCGATTTAATATGATTTGTTCGATGTTCTTGCATCCTGCAAAGTGACACAACAAATTATCATTTTAAAATTGTTTATTTTGTTTCGTATATAAATGTTACCTTTGAAGTGTTCGAAACCTAAGGCCATAATTGATGAATCGGTTCCATCCACTACTTTGATCTTCTCCGATTTTGTATTACTCAATGAATTATACCTAGGAACGATCAGAAGAAAGCAGATAGAATGAGTTATGATAGCCAGAGACTGTTTCTCAGATAAATGAATTATACTCTTTAATCGGCAGATACTGATTGTGAAACTGAACCGAACCACCGTTCTTTAAGATCCTAATTTCCAAAAAAAGACAACACATTTGATGACAATGTCATAATTAATATGTATTATATAAAAAAAAACTTGCCATTCTGCACATAGTTGATTCGGTCCGACTTCCTCAAGACGTTGAGTATCCACTTTGTTGAAAGCCACTCGCAAATAAGCAAAAAAACTGCGCATCTGCCGGTTGACGCTACTGTTAAACATTGTAAAATCGCCAAAGGCTGTACAAATTAATTTTGATGTCATCATTTTATTGTTTCACCGGCTTCGACGATTATTATGCGACTCAATTTTATTTTATAAACAATAGTATTTTGCGTATTAGTCGCAGTTTGCTATTTTTGTCAATCCAATATTGGCAATATTTGGTGCTGCAATCGCTAAGGCGATATTTGTTATCTCTCAATTTCAATTTTTAAATACAACTTATTTTGTATAAATAGCGAGAAAAAATACAATTTATTTATTTTTTATCGAACACGAAATCTTTTAACACAAACAAAATAAAAAATAGCAAAATTTTATTATTTTGATAAAAAAAAGAGATGCAAATATTTGAATGTGATTTTGACAGTTTTTGTCAAAGGGAATGAATGAACATATATTTCAGTCCGAACCGTGCATGCGCTTGTATTTGTGTCTCACATTCTGTTCTTTCAGTTTGACTGGTAATATTTTTCTAGACACACTGACAGCAGAGTTACCTAATGGACATTTTTGAAAGTAGAATTGTTTTGTTTATTTTTTTAATGCTTTTATGTCGCTATGGAGAACGCCCAAAAATAAATTCAACAAAGAAAGCTTTTTTTCAATTTTTAAAAAGTATTTCATGATTTTTTTTATTTCTTGATAACAAAACGATTTCAAGGAAATTTTATATAAATTATTAATCAGATAAAAGTTTAATGCTAGTTTCGTTTCTCAAAAAGCCGTTAAGAGGACGTTTGGATGTCTTTTTTTTTGTTTATGCTTTCGAACAAAACAGATACCAAAATCATTTTTTACATATCAACAGTTTTTTTTGCAACAGTAAGACATACACAGAGAGAGAGAGAGAGAAAGAAAGAAAGAAAGAAAGAGAGAGCCACTGAGAGAAGGAAACAAGAAGACACACAGAGATACATCTTGTGATAAAAATGATCAGAAAGGATTTATTCGATATTTTTAGTTCATGGTTCAAAAAGAGTCATGTTAAGAATCAAAACAAAACTTTTCAAATTCATTCTCCGGCAAAATAAACGAAATATGGTGCAGAACTATTATTGTTATTGAACTGATCGTCAATCGTCCATTGGGATAATAATCTGTGAAAAATTATGTACACATTGAAATATTGAATGGATGTCTCACTGTATATCAGCTATCTGAATTTTCACAGATATTCACGGACGCTGGTGCTTGGTAGCTATTTGCGTTAAATACAACATCGTAACAGCGACACAGAATTGAAAAAATTGCTCACAAAAGAGAATAAAAAAGATACTTTCATACTGCAGGCTGATGACTTCTGTATTGATGTTGTATTTAACGCACTCAGCGGATGAACACCAACGTCTGTTGTCATTATTCCCACCGATGACGACTTTATACGGATATACATTTTATCCGAACGCTCGTTGGATTTGTGAAAAAATCTTAATACTCTCTGCGAGGTCGGTAAAAGAATGAAAATAATCATTTAGTTGAACTGAATAAAATATTTTCAACATTGATTTTGGAATTATTTGTGTACTAGATTGCATTATATAAATAACGATGAGGTAGTAGTTTCCCCCCTTGATTATTCCTTTATTATTTGTTATAAACAAATCACCTTTGGCAAAGGAACGCTGTTGAAGCAGATTATTATTATTATCATATTTCGGGGTTTACTGGTTGGCGAATGCCGCAGTTAGAATTAATTACCGAGGGTGTGTGTATTTGTGGCCTCTAAAGCCGATTAAATTGATTGACAGGTTTTCAGCCGATGTTTGCCAGTTCCATATCTAAAATCCAAGCATATAGTCGTTCATATTAAAAATTAGACGAAATAAAAAACAAAAATAAAATATTAAAACATTTTGATGCAAACACATCAATGAACGAGAGAATGAATTGAAAGAGAGAATGAAGTTTTTTAACTGATGAACCAAATTTATTTTACATATGTGAATACAAGGGAATCACAGTGGACAACAGTTTACGCGGTTGATGAAATCAGCCAGCCTTGTATCGGAATAGTCGACTCACTAAACACGTAGATGAAATTTCGAAATCCTGATCTACATGGCCCTTCACTACGATTTTGCATATCTTTTTGAAACGTCCTGAGATCGTTGTGTATAAAAAAACCTGACCAGTAAACATCCTTATCACATATATCGTATCGTATCACATTTTTGTTATTGAAAATTCGTGTTGGATATGATAAAGGAGTTCAAAATGACACATTTGACACCAATTTTTTTTCTTTGAAATAGATTGATGCACTAGAGAGGGTTAAGTTATCATATTACTTTCATTCAAAATCACACGTGTAGGAAATGCTTGCCATGTCAATGCTAAAATAATGTTAATTTTTACATTATAAATACGTTACTTTTCTAAGTATTTGGCAAACAACAGAATTTTATTGTTCATATCATCGTCATAAACACGATAATCATACACGTGGATAAGATATATCTGCAGTTTAGAAAAAGCAGTTAAAAAATAAAATGATAAACATTGATGATCGCTAAAATGTTATCAAATTTTGTTTGCACACATTTGGAGCTCGCATGATTTGGCATAAGATTTATTTTTTTTATCTACACAATGTTTTTACAATATCACTATCTCATTACATATAAAATATACAAATAAAGGCATTCTTGGCGGTTGATTGTCATTTTATTAAGAAAACGCGTGATATTGAATGAATTTTTGATGACGATTGTGTTGAAAATGTATAGTTAAGTAATTACTTGGTGGATAATCGGTTTCACGTTAGAAAATGCTTATAAGTACCGCATTACTGATATCATGTACAACGTTGAAAGCAGCGCAATAGTCAACATGTACGCCAAGACAATTTTATTCGTTTTCGCGACACTTTTGCCAGCAACCATTTTTGGCCAATCTGACGCCGAGACTTGGTTCAAGGGTGGAAATTTTTATCAAATATATCCACGGTTAGACAGACAGAAAGGCAATCATATCATTGACACTTTACACAAATTCATTTTAATTAATTAGATCATTCAAAGATGACAACAATGACGGTATTGGCGATCTCAAAGGAATCATCTCAAAATTGGAATATCTAAAGGACATCGGAATCGATGGTGTTTGGTTATCACCAATTTACCAAGTGAGTAATAATTTAAAAAAAATTACAATTTTAAACAGTTAGTTCTTATGAGCTGTGTATTAACGAGCAATTTCAATATGTTTATAAAATTTATCATTTTAATCAAAAGAGTCCGATGGTAGATTTCGGATACGATATCTCAGATTTTACACAAATTCAACCTGAATACGGTACACTCGAGGATTTCGAAGAATTGGCAGAAAATTGCAAGCGTCTTGGTGTTCGTCTCATTTTGGACTTTGTTCCAAATCATACATCTGACCAACACGAATGGTTCATCAAGTCGGTGAATAAAGAGGAAGGATATGAAAATTTCTACGTTTGGCATCCAGGAAAAGTGAATGAAACAACCGGTGAACGTAGCCCACCATCTAACTGGTTAAGTGCTTTTCGTTATTCAGCATGGGAATGGAATGAAAAGCGTCAAGAATATTATTTGCATCAATTTGCAATTCAACAACCAGATTTAAACTACCGAAATCCAGAAGTACTTAAAAAAATGAACGAGGTATTGATTTACTGGTTAGAAAAAGGAGTGTCTGGATTTAGAATTGACACAATCCCATCCCTGTACGAAGTTGCTCCCGACGAAAATGGCAATCTTCCCGATGAATTGCCAAGTGGTAAATGTGACGATCCCGACGCAAGCTGCTACTTGAAACATATTTACACATATGATCAAGATGAAACATATGATGTTGTTTACGAATGGAGAGAACTATTGAACAAATTTCATGCGGACAATGGTGGAGACCAACCAATTTTAATGACTGAAGCGTATTCCGACTTGAATCATATCGTCAGATATTATGGAAACGGACAACGAAATGGATCACAAATTCCATTCAATTTTCATCTTTTGGCTAAAGTTAATCGAAATTCAAAGGCAGCCGATTACAAAAAACTCATTGAAGAATTCTTGCAAGCTGTTCCATCCGACTGTGAAGCCAACTGGGTGGTAAGTAGTAGGCTTGTACATTTTTTTCCGCACTGGTACTTTTTTTCATTGAAATGTTTGTAGATTCAAATTATGGGTGCAATTTGTGGATCTGCAATTTGGCTGCACCCATAATTTGAGCTTTTAAAGAAGCAAAACAACAACAATTTTCTGATATATTTCAGTTGGGAAATCATGATCAAAAACGTGTGGCTAGCCGTCTCGGTGAAAAAAGAGTTGATTTGTACAACATTTTGCTGAAAACTCTGCCCGGTATCTCTATTACTTATGCTGTAAGTTGGAAAATTATCTCTCTTTAACTTTTCACTTTATGATTTGTGAATAAAAATATATCTTTTTCATTATGAATATTTGAAAAAAGGGCGAAGAAATCGGTATGACTGACGTAATCATTTCGTGGGAAGGTAAGAAACTCGAACTAATAAAAGGAAGACAAATAATGGAAGTTTTGCATTAATAGTATCTCTTCGCTGTTGTACTTAACAAAAATATAGATTCTGTTGATCCACAAGCATTAAATACAAACGAAACAACCTATTATGCATTTTCACGTGATCCAGCTCGAACTCCCTTTCAATGGGATGAATCGAAGAATGCTGGCTTCAACAGAGGTAATAAAACGTGGCTTCCGATCAGCACTAACTACAAATGCGTCAACGTCAGAACCGAAAGCACTCAACCCAAAAGCCATTTGAATGTATACAAACGTTTGATAAAACTCCGCAAAGAAGCAGGTCTTGGCGCTGCTTCATATGAATCGGAACTTTTTGGAGAAATTTACACATACAAACGGTAAGAATTCAAGCTGAAACCAAAATATGGTCAAATGAAATACGTACGATGTCGTTCCATTATTTTTGCAGTCAAAATGATTCACTTAAGCCAATAATAGTGGCTTTGAATTTCGGCAATTCCTGGACAACGATCGATGTCTCAGCTAGATACGGTGTATCAGAATCATTGAAGGTCGTTACCGCATCAACTGAGTCACAATACGAAGAAGGGTAAGTATCAACGACTATGATTTGAAAATGTTTAACTTTCGATTTGCAACTAATATATCTACTTCAAATAGACAAATTATAAATGGTACTCGACTCACATTGCCAAACGACGTGGGAATTGTACTCACAACTGTTTAAATCTTCGCAAAGGAACAGAGCTGTTACAGAGAGACACCGTGGAAGTGCGGGCACTATTCTTGTAAGTGTCACTCTTTCTTGTATACGGTATCAATAACAGCTTTGCGAAAGAATATAATAGATGACAATAAATTGCTACAAGTATACGAAATATTTGATTTTTAATGAATACTTATATCCAAACAGATTAAAAAAATCATTGCATTTTATTTATATTTCATTTTTCAACAACTCTTTGTTCTGATTTTTTAAAGTTTAAGTTCTTTAAATATTGGATTCGCTACTTTGAAAAATGTGTTGGAATAGCATTTGCATCTTCGTGACTCTCAAAATTTCATTCAAGAAAGAGGAATGAATTTCCAAACCTCGTACGTTTTCCTCATTCTCAAAGACCAAAATAATGGTGAAATCAAACATCAATCTAACAAATAACTATTCTCTCTCTCTCTCTCTCTCTCCCTCTCTCTCTCTCTCTCGGACGCATTTTGACAGTTTTGACAATAACATGTATTAGTAGAACTGTTAAATTGAAAAATTGGACTTAAATTTGGACAGCAAAACTACAGTAAACGTATAAAAATACATGAACCAAATGGATTGTCGTTAAATTACATCGAAACAAATAGATTATGTAACATGACTTTCATTGAAATGCAGCGATGCACTTAAAATAACTATTTAAAACGTTCAATATGCCAGTATTTTCATTTTGAAGAAAACAGTTTGTTCATCACCGACCACCCGCAATCACTCTTATGGTGTTCACTATCTTGTTAGCCGATTGCACACGAATTCGAATATTACTTTAGCAAAGACCATTTTGTGATAGTTGAGATTGAATTACAGTTTTCGAGTGGTATTCAAATTCCAGCAACAAGCAACGGGCATAGATTAACTCACGATCTACATTAGGTGAAGTGAAAACTGCACAGAAATAGACATACACATATATTTCATATTCGCTTGGTAAGAAATTATATACTTAAAAATATGTTTGATATCTCCAGAAATTACTTTGTAGTTAATTTTGATTTTTGATGATAACGGTGGACAAAACTTCAAAAAAAAAAAAAATAGTAAGAACTTTCGGAAATTGGGAACTAAATTTGAAAAAAAAAATCGGCTTCCTCCGCTTATCATAGTATTTCAAAACATGGCACTTTTCACATGGCACTTGTAACATATATGATCTGAAAAACCCGTGAATAACGGAATCGTAGAAAAACAAATCATTTTCCACTAGGTGATGGTAGAATGGATGACTTTACACGAATTCAGGTTAGAATTATTGCTAGCTGCAACAAGTTTTTGATTCCATAAAAATCGCATATAGATGATAGGAAATGCAACGTATTAGTTGGTCTTCTATTCGACAGAAAAATGAAAAAAAAGGTCGAGAAAAGATTAATGTCAAAGCTTATCAGTCCTGTGGTAACTTGTCTAGATCATATCTCTTATCCAACGGGATACACCTTCTGAAGAGTCCCTCCTATACTATCAATGTCTGGAAATATTACATGCTTGTGTATTTGTAAGTGGCGCACTTACAGTAGCCAATACTAAACATCAAGTGACATGTAGTATGGACAGCAGCGCAACCAACGTATCGATCACCCATTTTTTTTTCAATGGCACTGAATAACAATATTTGGGCCATAAAATTCTAGATAGAAAAATTCAATTTAAAAAATGTTTAACGGAAAAAATAATAAAAAATAGATTTTATTTTCGACATATACCATCGTTGCTAAGATGTGATTTTGACTTAAAAAAAATTTAATCAGTTTACGATCTTCTTCAATTGTTGTTACAATTTTAATGGAAATAAAAGAAATGTTGGTCTTTTACCCTTTATTGACAGAAAACATAACATTTTTACAATAAAAACATAGCAGAAATGTTTGTAACCTCTGAAAAATGATCTTTTTTTTAATCCGGACCAAAACCGGGTTTTTTTCCTGTATTATCCTGCAATGAAAAAAATCCAAATAGTGATGTCCCACATTTTACATTATTCTCCAAGGCGAATGAACTGGCATCGTATTAGTGTTTGTCATTATTTGAATGTTCACTCAAATTTTCACAATTGAAAAAACGAAAAAGTAACGTCTGCGGTTGATGAAAATTGCGCTTCAAAAATAAATATAGTCTCAAAACCTCGTATTGTTCGCTAGATCGCTTATGACGGGCTTCAAAAGCCATTTATAAACAAATTGGATTATGAACAATTGCAAATGATGAAACGAAATAAATTACAATTTTAATAAATAGATGATCAATTTATTCATACGCTTGTTGTTTTGTTACGACTTACGGAAAATCAAATATCTACCCGCAAAAAGATTTTATAAAACTAAACAAATTTAACAAAATTCAAAAATGAGTTTGTATGAATTTCGCCACGGTGCCAATTTACATCATTAGCAATACAACCGAAAAAGTGTTGAACATTTTTACATTTGATCACTTTCGTCAATATATAGACTCTGTAAACCCACTATCTAGACCCTGACAATTACAAAATGATTACGATTTAAAGAGCCAAAAATGAGATTTTATCATTTATTACAGCCACAGTACATTTAATGTGCAGTGCGATCACAGAAACGTTATTCTTAATTAACCATTTAAACCCATATTGTTTATGTGATTTCCAGTTCTTTGCGTATAGAATAAAAAAAACTGAGTTGTCCATAAATTACTGACATCCATGCATATGTATGTCTCTCTCTAATATTATCATATTCATTTAATGGGAATCAATTCGAGTTAACCTCGAGTTTGGTCGAATGTTTAGAATGCATTATAATTCTGGAGAGAGCAAAATTTCATATTCCGACATATCAACCATGCTATTCACATACTAAAAGAGGAAATTCGATATCCTCTTAGCCAATATGTAAATGCATCTGTTATGAAAAAAAAAAATCGTTTTTATTAACTTAGCACCATGCTATTAGTCAGTTCGGACTTACTATAGGCCAAATTGTCCTTGAGATATTGCACATCAAATCTCAAGGCTCTTTTTTTATCATGAATACGAATTTATTGGAAACTATGCTATTACTTTATCGACACCGTTGAAAAATCTTTAACAAAAAAAAAAATACACCAACTTAGCCACATTAGCGCATACGGTAACTTATTGAAATTTGAAATATGAGACATTATCTGAATGTGAAACAAACCAAAAACATACCCAATCTCACTCTTATTAGTACCAAAGTACCTTTTTGTTATTTTAATGCCAAGTTTTTTTCTTGTAATTTTAATTTGTTTTTAAATATATCGTCTAATTATTTTGAATTAAGAAATGCGTGTAGAGTGAAATGAGAAATGTAGCCTTAAAATGCATACACACAAACACAAAAAAAAAAACTATATTACGGGCATGAAATTTGATATAATAATGCTTTTATCTGTTCATTTCATGTATTGATGCTAGGGGTTCTGCGATTCAATTGTGATTATAATTATGATTGGCATATTATTCTCTTTAAATTCGCTCTTGTTCAGTCTTTGCACGCTTCAAATAATATTAATAAAATGTGCAATATGTTGTAAAGTCCAGCATGCATCAAAACAAAATTATTGGAAATGAAATTCAATCACCAACTATAAACGCATATAATGTGCGCCTAAACATAAAATGCTATGCTTCGGTTTGCTTAATAAAATCCACAACTGAACTTCATTGAACGTTCCTATTCATAATAATAAAGTGAATTATGACAATTTTGGCATTTCTTATATGATTTTATTGTGAATTCTTGACTCTGACTGTTCCGTGTTACTTTTATTACTTTAAGATAAGATGCTCTTGCTATCCGAAAAAAATACGTTACTAACGGTTAAACGACTTTATTCGAGGAACTAAATCGATTTTTTTTTTCATACAAATTTTGAAATCTAGTCGACCGATTGATTTAGTAAGCAAAGTCGTCCAACACCAAATTTGACTATCATAACACATTTGGTTTATGATAAAAGTTTGTATTTTTGAATCAACGACACCAAATTTTGGACAGTATTTTTTTTCGTCATAAATTTGAAGAAATTGAATACTTGTCAATTATCTTTCAAAAAATGAAGGACAGAAATTAATCGTACACACACGCATACACATTTTCCATGGTTGATTTGTCAGCTATACAGGATGAATGAAAATTGATATACGCAGACACGGCGGAACAAAATGTGTATGTTTATGAAATGTTGTAATGGCGCCATTGTCTGCTCTCAAGTATGTTATTTTTGTTTTTAGTTGTCAAATTTTCTCGTTTTATTTTCTATTACTAAGTTATGTACCACACTTTTGTTATTTGAGCATTTCACTTGCGACTTTCTCTACTCTCTCTATCTGTTTTCATTTCCTTCATTATAAAATGACGGGAAGAGAATAAAAATGGGTATAGAAAGCCGGCGAAAATCGACTAGATTCAATGTAGGCGTAGTTTTTCTTTCGGTTACCATTTTTTTTAAAATTAAAACTTTAAGTCTTCTAACTAATAGAAAGTGTATTCGAATATCCCGACAGAATCTATATTCATTCGGGCTGAATTATATATTTGGTTTAAATGAATTTGGGTTCGCTCGGAATTTTACTGCGAAGCTCGGTCAATTAGAATAAAAGTGACCTAAAAACATTACATTTTTCATTATATATTGTGTTAAAAAATGGATTTATTGTTTAAAGCGAATTTCGTCTGGATTTTTGTGAGACAGGATTTTTGATTTTTGAGACTTATCATTCGGAATTTGGTTGGTTTAAAAAAAAAAAAAATGTCCTGATTTGGTCATATTTTCCCGAAAAAAATCTATTTTCTATTTAGTAAGTGTTTTATTGCCACTTTTATTCTCACGCCACAAAATTTTGTTATGTTTTTGAATTCAAATCAAATGGCACATTTCAAGGCACATTGTACGATTACGGATAACATAAGTTAAAATTAACAAACGGAGACGACGACAAGAATCGAAACAACTGACGGTCCAATGACAAGCATTTTTCGACAAATTTGAGTTTGCTCACATTTCAAAACAAAACAAGAAAAAAAAACGAAAACCACTTACATGGCTGGAAAAAAAGAGGAACTGAAGAATCCGTGTTCACATCCATCACAATTTTCGCTCTGTGTCACGGAAAATTGT